CTTGCGCAAGGACCCCCTGTGGCGCTTGAGTCCTGCTGCGATCGGCGGGGCGGTCAGCCAGCTGGGGTGATGCTGAGCCTGCTTCGGCAGCATGGGCAGGATGCCGATGTTGCCCGAGGCTGCTGGCCATCCTGCGCCCGCATCACCGTGGTCTCCTGCCGCAGCTCCTCTCCTTTGACCTCCTCTGTCTGCTGAGGCTGGGCGCTTCCTCCAGGGGGGCTTGGCCTTGTCCTTCTGGCCTCCGCCTCCTCCTCCTCCCTTGGGCGTTCCGCAGCCTCTGCACGTCGTTCTCGAAGCAAAATTGTCCTGGCTGCACTTCACGAGTGAGCAGCGCCAGGTTGACGTATGGCCCGTCGATCGCGACGATGCACGATCCCCTGGCGCCATCCTGCCGCTGCTGTGGTGTCTGTCCAGGAGGCCGGCCGCCGCGCCTAGCCGCAGGAGCACGCGTGCGTCGGCACGCTCCTTGCGGCGGCGGCGGTGCCAGGCCGGATCCCGATCGGCGCCGCGCGGCGTGGCGGCGCCCGTGGTCGCGCGACCGCGGAGGTGTCGCAGGCCACTGTGGCCTGCACCCAAACACCTCGAGCAGGTCACGGCGACTCGACGACGCGGGAGGAGGGAGGACGGCGACGACGACGACGACGACGACGCAAGAGCGCGCGCGCACGCTTTTGTTGAAAATCCGTGTTGCGACACCTTATGTTTTTGTAGGTTTTTTGGACACACGATTTTGAAATCCTTCCGAAACCGATGGGTTTTGAAGGATTTCGGCATACGCGCGCGACGACGCGCGCGTCTGCACTTCGTCCCGTTTTTTGCAGAGGATTCTCGCGACGGCACACGCGCAAGGGCGTTCGACAGATTTCGACATGCGCGCGCGCGACGCCCGTTTAATAGCATTTAGTGAAAATCTTGAAAAACCAATGGTTTTCTTAGCAAAGTTTGTTTAGCAAATCCGTGTTGCGAAACCATGTGCTTTGGTATGTTTTTTTTGGAAGCTCGGTTGCGAAATCCTTCCGGCACCGAAGGTTTTCGAAGGATTTCGGCATGCGCGCGCGACGAGGCGCGCGTGTGCACTTCGTCCCATTTTTTGCAAGGGATTCGCGAAAAAGTGCTATGTTAGAACAAAAAATGTCACCGCATAGTGTTGTTCACAAGGGAACCTCAGCAGGGGGGATACCGGCTGGCCTGGGAAATTGTGATTTCTTATTTAGGATGGACATGTGGTCATAATCATATGTGATTTACATACCCGAAAAGGGGTACCGATAACGCCGGGGGGGGTAGAGTCTATTCTCTTTTTAGAAAGGAGAATCCATTTGCCGAACTTGAAGTTGTCAACTCCACTGCTCGCGCAATCATCCCACCCACCCACCCGCAACTTGATTTGCAAAACCCATGCTGGAGCGATTGCGATGAGTGCTGTGTGCTGGACGTCGTCGACGACGGCGGCGACGACGACGACGCCGACGTCGACGACGACGAAGACGACGACGACGCCGACGCCGACGCCGACGACGAAGACGACGACGATGTCGCCAACGAAGACGACGACGAGGGAGGGGGGAGGACGACGACGGCGACAACGACGACAACGACGACAACGACGAGGGAGGAGGGAGGACGGCGACGACGCGAACGACGAAGGAGGAAGGACGGCGACGCCGACGACGACAACGACGTGGGAGGAGGGAAGACGACGACGACGACGACGACGACAACGATGACGACGACGACGGCGACGAAATAGGAGGGACGACAACGAGACGCCGACGACGGATGACGACGACGACGAAGAAGGAGGAGGAAGGACGACCACGGCGACAACGACGACGGAAACGACCACGACGCCAAAGAGGACGACGACGACGAACACGAGGAAAGACAGAGGACGACGTAGGCGACGACGACGACGACGCGGGAGGAGGGAAGGCGGCGACGACGACGACGACGACGACGACGACGCCGCAAAAGCGCGCGCGCACGCTTTTGTTGAAAATCCGTGTTGCGACACCTTGTGTTTTCGTAGGTTTTTTGGACACACGATTTTGAAATCCTTCCGAAACCGATGGGTTTTAAAGGATTTCGGCATACGCGCGCGACGACGCGCGCGTCTGCACTTCGTCCCATTTTTTGCAAAGGATTCTCGCGACGGCATACGCGCAAGGGAGTTCGACAGATTTCGACATGCGCGCGCGAAGCCCGTTTAATAGCATGTTGTGAAAATCTTGAAAAACCAAAGGTTTTCTTAAGATTTCGCAAGAGCTCGCGCGGAGCTCGATTGCGAAATCCTTCCGGCACCGAAGGTTTTTGAAGGATTTCGGCATGCGCGCGCGACGACGCGCGCGTGTGCACTTCGTCCCATTTTTTGCAAGGGATTCGCGAAAACGTCTTATTTTATAACAAAAGCTGTCCCCGCATACTCCTTTTTACCAGGGAACCTCAGGGGGGGGATACCGCTTGGCCTGGGACATTGTGATTTCATATTTAGGATGGACATGTGGTCAGAATCGTATGTGATTTACATAGGACGCGGGGGGAGTGATAACGCCAGGGAGGGTAGAGTCTATTCTCTTTTTAAAAAGGAGAATCAATGTTGTACACCCTAGGTGCTGCAACCAACGTGGTGCAACCTAGGTGGTGCAGTCAATGTGGTGCGATCAATATGTCTGGTGCAAAATGGTGTAAAGCAACGCAGAGCAATGCAACATAACGCAAAGCAGCGCAAAGCAGCGCACCATAAAGCAAATTAGCGCAATGCAAAGCAGCGCAATGCAAATCAGGACAAAGCAACGCAATGCAAAGCAGCGCGAAGCAATGCAAAGAAAAACCACATCCAAAGTATTGCAAAGCAAGGCAAGCACTGCAGATGAATGCTAAACGATGCAACGCAGTGCAATACAGTGCACAAGCTGCAAAGCTATGCAAAGCAACGCAAAACAATATATGCGGTTCAACTAACCGTGGCAATCTATGCGGTACAACATGGCCGCCAGACCGACTGACAGGCCCAGTTCCTCAGAAGAGAATGAAGAAACCCTAATTGCAAGCTCTGCTGGGGAATCGACATCATGACCTCTTGCAGGCTGCGGCCAGGAGGCGGCCGGAGGAGAGGGGCAAACTCGTGGCTCCAGACTCGGAGGAGACGGCCAGGAACAGGAGGAGCACGACCAAAGGAAACCCAAGATGCACCAACGATGTTGCAGCGAACCCTCCCTCATGATTCCCTTGTCATTGGTCCCTACAGGAATTCTGCTTCGCGGGAAGTGCCCCGCTGAGCGTGAACCGTCTGAGAATCCTCAGTCGCGCCAGCACGCAATTCGTAGGACTTCAGCGCCGCGGATCCACGTGCCTGTTGCGTCCGGACAATCCATAACCGTGCCAGAGCACCTATCCAATGACTTCAGCAGAACGGATCAATGTGGCTGTTGCGCCCTGACAAGTATAGTATAAACCGCTCCACTATACCATTCCTGGGACATCCGCTGCATGAATCCTTGACGCGGCTGCGAAATCTTGAAACGATTTTATGCGGCACTAGGCCACATTTTGAAGAAGGAGCCGCCTTCTACCCGCGAGACTGTTCAAAACTTTTGAAACGAATGTGCGCGGCGCCAAGGTGAGAGCCACTTTTTGAGAACCACCCGTCGTCCATCAGTGAAACTGAAACTCTCCAGTGTAAGACACATGTACGCGCGGCGCTGAAGGAATACCCATCTTTTGAAAACGAGCCGCTTCCATCCGCGACAGTCTTGCAAACTTGTGAAACGAACGTGCGCGGCGCTAAAGCGAGAACCACCTTTAGAAAAAGAGCCACCCTCCTTCCAGAAACGTTTGTAAACTGTTTCAATCGAATGCGCGCGGTGCTTATGCGAGAACTACCTTTCGAAAGCCATATGCCCCCCCTCCGTGAAACGATTGCGAACTTGGGAGACGAGTGTGCGCTGCGCTCTGGCGAACACCGCATTTTGATAACGAGCTGCCCTGCATCAGTGAAGCTGTCGCGCTTCAGGATATCATGTGGTGAGGAAGTCGGATGCGAAACGCCCGGCCCGCATTGCGAACACGTCTGGGGGTGCGACACGGAGGAGCTATCTATGAGGGGGAAAGATGATGGAGGAGGAGGAGGAGGAGGAGGAGGAGGAGGAGGTCGAGCGTGCCCAAAAGAATTCATCCAACAGCCAATGCGCCATGCCTCGCCTAGCTAATCGGACCACTGGGTCCAGAGCTCAATGCCTCGCCATGCGGAATGCGTCGCCATGCCTCGCCATGCGCAATGCCTCGCCAATCGGATCAATGGGTCCAGAGCTCAATCTGAGGACCCTGGGGAGACAACCGTAAAGCAGCCCAGATCGACGAAGCCCGAATAGGAGCACTGCCGAACTTCTCGGCCAGACGATGGGCACACAAACAGGAGACTACAAACGATGCGTCTAGAGATAGGCGGCTGCAAACGATGCTCATAGGAATAGGCGGCTACAAAACTACAAGACTGAACAAACGTAGAGAAGGCGGAGGAAGAGGAGGCGGAGTCAAGACCTCCGCCGCGACTGCCTCCATGGACGAGCTCTGAGGACGCCACTGTGGGCCACCTCGCGCGGCCAGCGCGCGCGGGGGCGCGTGGTGGTGGGCAGCTGCTCGATGTGGAACCGCAGCGGCCCTTGAAGGTCCGAGTGCAGGGGGGGAGCGGGAAGAAGGGCAAGAGTAAGGAGCGCATAAAGGACGCACGCGCCCAACCACGCACGTGAACCCCCCCCCCCAGTCCGCGAGGCCAGCCTCGCGATGCGAACGTCTGCGCAGCGCGTACCTTCGGCACCAACTCGGGGTCATGTAAGTACGCGTGCGTCCTTCTGTCGCTCCTTGAGACGGCGGGAGCAGGGCCAGGACGGCGCCAGCCGCCACCCAGGCGGCAGGCGGCAGCGGCAGCGGCAGCGGCAGCGCCGCCGCCAGGCTGCGGCAGCGGCGGCAGAGGGGTCGCGGGGGTGCGGCGGCAGGAGCGCCTCCGCGACCTGCGCGCCGCACTCGTCGTCGGGCTCCTCGCGGAGGAAGGCCAGTTGAGCCAGCCACGGTCAACCCGTACAAGAAGAACGCACGATCAGGGCACAAGGGTGCAAGGGTCTTGGAAGGCCATGTCGGCACTCTGCGAGCGGGGGGGGGAGGGCAGCGAAAGCGGCCAAGGATGGGCCGAAGGGGAAGGATGCAGGGGTAATCTTGGAAAGATGCTCACCCTTACTAGCGGCTCCTGGGGAAACCAGCAGGCACCGAGATCGCTGCTCCCCAGACAAGACCTCTCCTGGGGTGCGCCCCGACCCAGACTTCCAGGCGAACCTGGCGGTGGGGACGCAGGCCGGCCCACGGGGGGCCCCCCAGAGCGGCAAACTGGGCAGGGGGAGAGGCCCATGGGCACCCGTTCCTCCTCTGCGCTCCCCGCCCGGCCAGCTCCGCCCACCATCGGCGGGCTCCTCCCGGGGCCCCTCCTGCTGCCCGCTTCTGCCAGGCGCGGGGCCCCGCCGTGGCGGAGGGGGGCCTCCGGGAGGCCCCCCTGGAGGACGACGGCGCACTGTTGTCTCGCCGCCGCTGTCTCGAACCCGGACCTCCTGCGCTCCCATGTTTCCGGGGAGGAGCTCGGAGGAGGAAGCGGCACCCATGCCTCCCACCCCTCGCCCGTTCTCCACTTCTTGGGCCTCCCGGGAGGCCCTCGTCGGCACCGCTGGAGTCGCCTCGAAATTCTGATCAGGACGCACCCCGTGAGAGACTCTGGGGAGCAGCGGTATCGAGGAGGAGGAGGAGGAAGAGGAGGAGGAGAAGAAGAAGAAGACTAATCAGAAGAATAATAATAATAATAATAATAATAAGAAGAAGAAGAAGAAGAAGAGGACGAGGACGAGGACCAGGAGGAGGAGGAGGAGGAGAAGGAGGAGGTGGAGGAGGTGGAGGAGGAGGAGGTGTACGTAGGGGGAGCAGGTGTACGTAGGAGCAGGAGGTGTATGGAGGAGGAGGAGGAGGAGGAGGAGGAGGAGGAGGAGGAGGAGGATGGAGGAGGAGGAGGAGGAGGAGGGGGTTGGTGTCCCCAGGAGCGGGCTACCCTCCCACCGCCCCCTCTCCAGGGAAGACCCGGAGGCGGGCGTGGGCCCCCCCCATGCTGCCGCCCGGGCCCGATCCTCGCCCTCCCCGCGGGTGCGTCGGCGATGCATCGCCAACGAATCGGCGATGCATCGGGGATACGTCGGCGGTGCATCGGGGATACGTCGGCGGAGCATCGGCGCCGTCGGCGTGGAGAGCATCGGGATCCACACCGAGCCGCATCGGCGATGCGCCGTCGGCGTGGAGGACATCGGGATCCACATCCAGCCGCATGGGCGATGCGTCGTCGCTGCGGAGCGGTCCTCCGGCCCCGGCTGCTCGGACCCCCTCGGGGAGGCCCTCCCCGGTCCTCGTCCTCCCCGCAGGTGGCGCGGAACAGCGCCGTCAGGTCGCTGAGCCCCACGGCCAGCCCCGTCGACGCCCAGCCGCCGTCGGCGGCGTGGCTGCCGTCGTCCCGCGCGGCGGCTTCGACCGCGTCGTCGGCGCCGTCGCCGTGCGTCGCCTTCGGCGGCCGCCGCCGCCGCCGCCAGCGTTCGACTCTAGGCCTCTACGTAACTACCCTCGGGTCGAGCGAGCGAGTCACGCGAGCGAGCCTGTCGGCTGCTCGGCCCCGTGCAGGGAATGGGCGAACAAGCAGCCTACCAGCCAGGCCACCAGTGTGGAACATGAGCAGCACTGAGAGCTGTGAAATGCGGAAACATGCATGCGCTCCCGACTCCGACGAGGAGCAGTCGGGGGCGGGGGGCAGGGACCCCAGACCCCCGACGTCATGATTGTTGTCATGACGTCGACCCCCAGGGATCTCGACCCATCCCTTGCGGCCAGCCTTGCATCTGGAGCCGTCCCTTGACGGCCCCGGGGCCCGGCAAGGGCCCCCAGAGGCCGAACATCTCGAAAAGCCCTCCGTCGTGATTTCTTGCATGCCTCGAGGGTGTCTGGGGAAGGGGGGGAGAAAGGATGGCCCACCTGGGGCTGGCCCCCCTCGGGGCCGAGGAAGCGATCCGTCGCTTGGAAGGCGATCGCAGTGGCCTCATCGCGGGCCGTGGTCAAGTAGGAAGAGGAGGAGGAGGCCCAAGGAGGAGGAGGAGGAGGAGGAGGAAGAGGAGGAGGAGTAGGAGGAGGAGGACGAGGAGGAGGAGGAGGAGGACGAGGAGGAGGAGGAGGAGGAAAAGGAGAAGGAGGCGGAGGAGGAGGAGGAAAAGGAGGAGGAGGAGGAGGAGGACGAGGAGGAGGAGGGGGAGGGAGGAGGGAGGGGAGCGAGGGAGCGAGGGAGGGTCGAGGAGCAGCAGCAGCAGTTCGACGGCGAGGTGCCCCGGCGTGGTCGGCCCTCGTCGGGCCTCGGGCGGCCTGCCCGGGCCTCGGGAGGCCCCCGGAGAGGCCTTTGGGGACCTCCTGGGGCGCGGCGTCGTCGGTCGTCGCCGTCGTCGTCGTCGTCGTCGCCGTCGCCGTCGTCGTGGTCGTCGTCGTCGTCGTCGTCGCCGTCGCCGTCGCCGTCGCCGTCGCCGCCGCCGTCGTTGCCTCCTCCGCGTCGTCGTCGTGGCCGCCTTCAGCAGCTGGCGGGTCTCCCCCTGGGCCGGATCTGTCCATTCGAAGAGCGCGCGGATCTCCCTGGTGGTGAAATACCCCCGCTGCTGCTTCGCCTCCAGCGCGGTCCTCGTGAGGCCGTGCTTGAAGACCTTCGGGTGCGCCGAAGAGGGGGGGCCAAAGGAGGAGGAAGTGCGTCACTTTTCAAGCAAACGGCCTCACACGGAGCTCTCCCCCAACACGCACTCCGACTTACGCTAGACAGATAACCCGGCAGGGACGCCAGAAGCCGCCACCGAGGCATGGAGGCATGGAAGCATGAAGGCGTTGAATCAGGGAGGGGGTTGCGCGTCATGGAGGCAGCGTGCTCGCACGAGTGGTGGTGAAGGGATGTGTTGAAAAAGCAGGAGGGGGCCATGCAAATATCTTGGCCCAGGTCATGTTGTCCCCCCCGACCCGCCCGCGACCCACCCGCGACCCACCCGCGGCCCACCCGCGACCCACCCGCGACCCACCTGCGACCCACCCCGCGACCCACCCCGCGACCCCTCCTCCTCCTCCTCCTCCTCCTCCTCCTCCTCCTCCTCCTCCTCCTCCTCCTCCTCTCCTCCTCCCCCTCCCCCATCCTCTTCCTTGGTCCTCACCCGCCACGACTCCTGGTGGCGTTCGGGTCATACCCCAGACCTCCAGCGGCCGTTCGGGACAACTCGGACACCCCTGGAAAGCTCACGACGAGGCGCAGCTGCTGGAGAGCATCCCAAGGCGAGAAGACGCCCAAGAGCCTCGTAAAATTTGAGACGAAGCCAGGACGCGGATAACATCGGATAAATCGAGAATCTCTGAGATCCGGCGGCTCTGGAAGATGTATCGGGCGCCGCGGCCTTGTCAGAGCTGGAACGCTCTAAGAGCGTTCCGGAACGCTCTGAAACGGATCTACCCTCTCCCTAGACCCGTCCGGAATTCTCTCCAGGAGCCACCCCTGAAGCGCCCCAAGGCGAGAAGTGAAAAACAACTCACGAACCTTTCGCTGGCTCTACGCAATTTGGGCGCTATTCAGCTCTAATCGTCGCCACTGGGCTTACTGGGCGCCATTGGGCGCTTTTTGGACGCGATGGGGCGCTACTCGCTGATGTACATACCATGCAAGGTGGAAAGGAATTTCGGTGACTTCCTATCTAAGAGAGGTCCTCCCCCCCTGATCCGACGTTGCGAAAAACTTGCAACATCGCAAACAATCCTGGCCAGAGCCCTGAGACCTGCAGGCGGACTGTCTTGTCCTCGATCACGCCGCCATTGGGCGCTGTGTGGACGCGGCTCATCGCTATTGAGCGCTATTGGGCGCGAAGCGCGCGCTATTGAGTGCCGTTGGACGCGGCCCGCCGATGTGCATTTACTGCAACACGAGCGGGAGCTCCCGCGACTTGCTGCCCCAAGTGAAGTCCCCCGCCCTCGGCGACACCCCCGAGACCTGCAGGCGGAACATCTTGTCCTCGATCAGGCCGCTCATGACCAGCCTGTACGCGCGGACCTCGCGCGTCTGGCCGATGCGGAATGCCCGGTCGACGGCCTTGGGGTAGCACTGAGGGGGGGCCACCACTGAGTATCGTTGAACCGATCCCCATCCCCAACGGCGTGGCCTGGGCCCCACTGGCCGATTTACCCCGCTAGATGGGGATGTAGGCCGTTCCCTTCGGGTTTCGAGGGGTGTATCCCCAACTGGGGTGGTAATTTGGTGGGGGTCTCGAAGGGGATGGGGATGGGGATGGGGATCGGCTAAACGATACCGACACTAGCAGGGGGTCGCCACTTCTTCGAAGAAGTGTCAATATCCTCAGAAGGAACGAAGCCCCCTGGTCACGCCAGAGCCCCGCCCCCCCGCACAACGACCACAGACACAGGGGGGTCGCCACTTCTTCGAAGAAGTGCCAATTTCCTCGAAGGACCAGGGCCCCCTAGACACGGCAAGGACCCTCCCCCCCCGCAAAACCCGGACGATCCAAAAGCCTGCTCGAGCTTCGATCCTGGAACCTCGATTTCCAGGAAGAACTGGTGACACCCCCAGTGTCAGAGCAGTGCGAGCTGGGACAACGGCGGTTCTCCCCCTCCTTCTCCTCCTCCTCCTCCTCCTCCTCCTCCTCCTCCTCCTCCTCCTCCTCCTCCTCCTCCTCCTCTTCCTCCATCCTCCATCCTCCATCCTCCATCCTCCTCCTCCTCCTCCTCCTCCTCCTCCTCCTCCTCCTTGGCTCTCACACGCTCAGCATCAGTCCCTGGGCCCCTCCCAGGGTCCGCCCTGCCCAGCGTGGCGGCGCGGGTGCGGCCGTGGCGACGAGCAGCCTCCCAGAAGAGGCCCCAAGCATGGCGAGATACTCCAGGGAGAGTCGCCGTTGCCTCGACTGGCCCTGCTCTGAGATGAAAGGGCCCTGGGACATGCAAATAAATCCGCGGGCCCCGTTGTAAGGCCACCAAGCTGTACGCCGAATCTTCGCAGCTTCCTGTAATTACCAATTGCAGCTTCCAATTTCCACTGTTACAATTTTGCTTCTTGCTGCTTACTGTTCCGTGTTGACTTCTTGCTGATTGCTGTTCCTTGTTGATGGACCGCGCGATGGGGGGGGGGGGGGGGGGGCAAAACGGGCATGTTTACCACGCCCTGAGCGTGTTGTCTGAATTGCTGGGGTGGGTAAAAATTGACCCTCCTCACGCAGATCGGCGGGGTCAGGGTCTAAAAACACATGGGATCCTCAACATTTCTGAAATTCGGTGGCATCTCTCATGCAGATCGGCGGGGTCAGGGTCCACAAACACATGGGATTTGCCACATTTCTGAAATTTGCTTACACCCCTCACGCAGATCGGTGGGGTCAGGGTCCAAAAACAAAAAGGATTTGCCATTTTTGAAATTCGCTGGCACCCCTCATGCAGATCGGGGGGGTCAGGGTAAAAACAACACATGGGATTTGCCACATTTTTGAAATTCGCTGGCACCCCTCACGCAGATCGGCGGGGTCAGGGTAACAAAAACACATGGGATTTGCCACATTTCTAAAATTCGGCGGCACCCATCACGCAGATCCGTACGGTCAGGGTCCAAAAAACAGCTGGGATTTGCCACATTTTTGGAATTCGGTGGCACCCCTCACGCAGATCCGTAAGGTCAGGGTCGAAAAACAAACAGGTCCCGACACTGCTTCACGGCGGCAGCATTGTCCGAGACAGGGGGCCGGCGGCATGGGGCGAAGCCCTTACGGACAGACACAAATAACAGGATTCCCCTCGTTTCCCCATATTTACCTGACAGCGAAGACTGATAGGTTTCTATTAGGGTCAAAAGAGAACATTATGACTCCTCAGGGGGGTCGGGGCGGGACCCGGGGCGGCTGCCGTCGAAGCCCAAATCGCCTGGGACATCCTCGCAAAATCGCTCTTGGCGCTGCTAGAATCCATTCCCGGCGTACATTTTGGATGCCCGGAGCCAACTGTAGGCCACTTCGTGGTCTTCGAGTTCCCAGAACTCCATTCCCGGCGTACATTTTGGATGCCCGGAGCCAACTGTAGGCCACTTCGTGGTCTTCGAGTTCCCAGAACTCCATTCGTGGGCATGATTTTGAATGCCCGGAGCCAACTGTAGGCCACTTCGTGTTCTTCTAGTTCCCAGAACTCCATTCCTGGGCCACATTTTCAATGCTGAAGCAAACTGATGCTGCAGCCGAGGCAGGCTGAGGCTGAGACAGGCTGAGGCTGAGGCCGAGGCTGAAGGCAGACTGAGGCTGAGGCTGAAGCAGACTGAGGCTGAGGCTGAGGCAGGCTGAGGCTGAGGCTGAGGCAGGCTGATGCTGAGGCAGGCTGAGGCTGAGGCTGAGGCTGATGCAGGCTGAGGCTGAGGCAGGCTGAGGCTGAGGCCGAGGCTGAAGGCAGACTGAGGCTGAGGCTGAAGCAGGCTGAGGCTGAGGCTGAGGCAGGCTGAGGCTGAGGCAGGCTGAGGCTGAGGCTGAGGCAGGCTGAGGCTGAGGCTGTGACTGCGACTGCCGTTGCCACTGCGACTGTCATCGCGAATGCGACTACGACTGCGAGAACAGCAGAATTCTACAACTGGATTCTCATCTGAATCTTAAGGGGAATGCTTCCAGATATGTTCCTACACATCGCTGTTAGGTTGCTTTGCCGGGATAATTTCTTGGTTTTTGTCTTCCCCCCCACTTCCCACATTGCCCCATATTTTCTGGGGGATCGACGATTAACTGTGTCTGTGTGTTTTTTCCCTCCTGATGAGAGCGGTGACCGCCCCCCTCAGGCGCCGCCCGAGGCCTGCGCGTCCACGGCGGGGTTCCACGCCGGGTCCACGATGACGACGCGGTCGGCGCTGGTGAGGTTCAGCCCCACGCCGCCGGTCATGGTGGTGAGCAGCATGCACTGGAAGCGCTCCTAGGAGAAAGCCGGCAGGGTAGGACGGAGGCATTAGATAAGAATGCCTTCGATAAGGAACCAAGGGTCTCGCGACCGCTGCGTGGCCAAACTTGGGCCACTCACCTCGCATTGAATCAAGAAGGGATGCGCCAGGGTCTGGGCCCCAGGAAGACGTTTCTTATCCAATGCCGCCGCCGCAAGGCGGAGGAGGGCCAGTCGAGACAGCGACGGGGCCCTCCCTGACACTGTTCGTCCTCCTTAGGGCCTCCTGGGGGCTTCTCGTCGCCATGGCTGCATCCGCCGCAGCGACGGGAGCACGGGACGGGTCCAGGGGCCGATTTTGACCAGATGTGGGCCAGCCGAGAGAGCCGCCGAAAGGAATGCTGAACGAGGAACGAAAAAGAAACAGCTTTTCTGGACACGGTGGCCCTAGGCCACTAACAATTTCCCCGACCTGGATCTAAGATATGGGTGGGAAATCACAGCGCCTCCTGAGCCCGAGGTGGTCATTCTTGCAGCGTCTTGACTCTACCCGAAAAAGAAGAACGCATGCATGAGCATAAACTTTCGGAGCTCCGCGCGGGCTGCCTAGATCGGCGCTGGAAGCACTCCTAGAAGGAGGTGGAGGATCAGGAGGAGGGAGGAGGAAGAGTAGGAGGGAGGAGTTTGAAGCTCGGATGGGGAAGGGAGACTCGGGGGAGGGTAGGACGGTGGACGGAGGTGGCGGAGTTAAGACGAAGAGAGAGAGAGAGAGAGAGAGACAGACAGAGAGAGACGGGGAGGGAGGCGGAGAGCCGAAAGGATGGAGAGGCTGCGGGTAGGGAGAATTAAACCGGCATGCGAGTAAACTTTCGGAGCTCCGCGCGGACTTCCGGGATCTGCGCTAGAAACCCCCACGGCGGCGCATCCGGCGCCGCCCATGGCGCGGGCTCCATCGCCGATCCCGATCCAGGAAGTCTGCGGGAACCTCCGAAAATTGATGCATCTGTACTTACTCGCTGGTGGACAAACCTCCCTTTAAGAAACCTCCCCTTAGTGAAAACGGCCTAGGACCGAAACCGACGGACCTGGACCCGCAAAAATGACGGCCGCGACGCCCTATCGACGTGTCGGGGTAGGAGGTCTGTTGACCTCCGGATTACTTGGTTCTTCTTTGAGCTCCGGCTGGTTGTTGAACTTCGCGACCTTGTCCGCGCGCTCCTGGGCGTCCGTCTTGCCGTCTATGCGCAGGCAGCGCAGGCCGAGGGGCCTCTGCAGAGCAGGAAGAGGCGGCTTGAACAAACGTTCGGAGGTACAGTGGAGGCACGACCACAAGAAACCTTCCGCAAGAAACCTAATCCTGAGACCCCAGGACGTCCACTGATTTTTGGTGCGGGAACATCGCTCTTTCCTGGGCAAAACCATCGAAACCCAAGAAACCCAGGGCACCCTGGAGGCAGGCAGGGAGTTTCTTGGCATGGGCCTCCACTGTATGCGCGAACTTCTCAGATCGGCGATGGAACTCCGCCCCAAAACCCCCTCGCCGGGCCCCAGGGCCGTCAAAAACAGCTCAGGGCGAAAAGCCGGTCCCTGGGGGTCGACGCTGTGAACCTCTTTTTGTACGGCGCAGCGCGGCAGAGGCAGTCCGCACGCGCGGCCAGGCAACCCGGGCTACGGAGTTGCGAATTGTCCCGCATGCAGGAGGAAGGGAGAAGACGAGAGGCGGCCGCAGAGACAGGAGGAGGGAAAAGAGGGCGCACTCACGCGGGGAGGCCGCGGGGGGGGCATAGACAGGACACAGAGGAGGAGGAGGAGGAGGAGGAGGAGGAGGAGGAGGAGGAGGAGGAGGAGGAGGAGGAGGAGGAGGAGGTCTAGGAGAAGGAGGAGGAGGAGGAGGAGGAGGAGGAGGAGGTACCCTCGATTTGGCATGGTCGACCTCCCAATCAGGGCTGACTGTAGGCCGCTCCCCGCGGCGTTCCGCGCCCATGGGCCCTCGGGGCCGCCCCCAGACATCCTCCATCCTGGCTGTTTCGGCGCGGGGCCCCAGGGCCGCCTGCAGACATCCTTCGCCTTGGCTGTTTCGGCGCGGGGGATCCCAGGAAGCCTCCAGACATCCTTCGCCTTGGCTGTTTCGGCGCGGGGGATCCCAGGAAGCCTCCAGACATCCTCCGTCTTGGCTGTTTCGGCGCGGGGGATCCCAGGAAGCCACAACCCTCTCCCCAAGGCCCGCGTGTCGCCCTGCGCCGCACTGTGGACTGTGAGGGCTCCCGGAGGTCGAGCATGGCCAAGAGCCTGCCGTCGTGACTTCCGCCACGGCCCGAAGAGGTGGGGGTCGAGGGCGCCGCTGATGGCGCTGGCGCTTGCCGCGGCGGCGCTTCCTCTCCCTGTCGCCTCCCCGCCCTCGCAGCCAGCGGGGTGGAAGGAGGGACGGAGGAGGAGGAGGAGCAGGAGGAGGAGGAGCATGAGGAGGAGGAGGAGGAGGAGGAGGAGGAGGAGGAGGATGAGGAGGAGGAGGAGGAGGAGGAGGAGGACGAGGCTGAGGAGGAGAAGGAGAAGGAGGAGGACGAGGAGAAGGATGAGGAGGAGGAGGAGGAGGAGGAGGAGTAGGAGGAGGCTGAGGAGGAGGAAGACCAGGAGCAAGAGCCTCAGGCAACACACCTGGATCAGGTCCAGCATCTTGAGGCTCTGCGAGAACACCAAGGTGCGGTGCCCCCGCGCGGCCAGGGCTGGCAGCAGCGCCCGGAGGCACTGGAGCTTCGCACTCTGCGACAGCAGCTCGCCAGCATCCCTGGGCAGCTCGGGCACCAGTGCCTGATGGTGACGACGACAACGGCGACGAGTAGAAGGAGGAGGAGGAGGAGGAGAAGAAGGAGGAGGAGGAGGATGAGGATGCTGATAATGATGATGATGATGATGATGGTGATGATGATGATGATGATGATGATGGTGACGATGATGATGACGATGATGATGATGATGCTGAGGAGGATGGTAATGGTGATGGGGATGCTGATGCTGAGGACGAGGGTAATGGTGATGGGGATGCTGATGATGATGGTGATGGCGAGGATGACGGTGGTGATGTTGTTGATGCTGATACTGGTGCTGATGCTGATGCTGCTGCTGCTGCTTATGATGATGATGCCGATGATGATGATGACGACGACGAGGATCATGATGAGGATTATGAGGATGGTGTGGATGAGGATAACGGTGGTGATGTTGTTGTTGACGATGACGGTACCGATGCTGATGCTGATGTTGCTGATGATGAGGCTGAGGATGGTGATGATGATGATGATGCTGATGATGATGGTGATGATGACGATGATAATGCTGATGCTGGTGACGAACATGACGATGATTGCTGATAACGTGGAGGATTATGATGGTGATGAGGAGGATGATGGCGATGGTGAGGATGAAGATGGTGATCTTGTTGTTGCTGATACCGATGCCGATGCTGGTGTTGATGACGATGATGATAAAGATGAGGATGAGGATGATGATGATGGTGATGACGCGGATTTATGTATGATGGTGATGCTGGTGATGAAGGCGATGCTGGGGGCGCTGTTATTGATGATGATGCTGATGATGATGCCGACGCCGATGCTGCTGATGCTGGTGACGATGACGATGCCGGTGACGATGATGCTGATGCTGATGACGATGGTGCTGATGACGATGATGCTGATGATGCTGGTGCTAAGGGTGATGGTGAGGATGATGATGGTGATGCTATTGGTGATGTTGATGCCGACGATTCTGATCATACCGATGATGAGGGTGATGTTGGCGATGGTGGTGATGATGATGATGGCAATGATGATGATGATGCTGATGATGATGATGATGGTGGACATGGAGGTGGAGGTGGAGGTGGGGGTGGTGGTGGTGGTGGTGGTGGTGGTAGTGGTGTTGTTCATGATGATGCTGATACTGATACTGATGCCGATGCTGATTATGCTGCTGCTGACGACGACGGCGACGAGGAGGAGGAAAAGGAGGGGGAGGAGGAGGAGGAGGAGGAGGAGGAGTGCAAGTACCCAAAGAGGAAGAGACGAGGGCAAGCGGGCAAGAAGCGAGACGAGGGCAAAGACTGTCCGCTCCTGACCGACTACCGCGCGACTACTTCCAGAGCAATGCTATGATGATCCACGACACTTCGTAGCTGGGGTCGGAGCGGCGAGCTTCATTTCGTAAAAGCAGTTAAAGGTGAGCACAATCCACTGAATCAACCGCAACAACGCGATCTCGTTTGCAGGCTCAGACGGAACGGCTGCGGCGGGACCAGAGTCCCAAGTTGTAAGCGCATTGTGGGGGTTGGGCGAGACGGTGGAGCAGGGGAGGCTCAAGAGGACCGAGCGGGCGAGGTAGTGGGGGAATGAATCGGGTGTTGCTGGGCACCCTACCACGAGCGACTTCTGCAGGCGAACGTGCATGCAATGGGTCGTCGACCATTCACCTGCGGGTGTCTTATATGCCGTCCAGCGACAGATCATGCGGACAGGGCGCATGGCACTCGTGCGAGCAATGCAGCGCGCGGCGAGCTCTATGAGCGGGCGCGGCTGATGGATGCCCCAGGCTGCGATGCACTTCGCGAGCGTGACTGAGAATGGCAATGAGAAGAAGGCCCGCAGCAGTGTGAGCGCAGCCGCGCGCTGCGCCTTTGGGCGGCGCGGCGGCTCAGCACTCGGGGCCTCATGGAAGTCGCCGGCAGCTGCGCGGTTCGCCGCGGCCGCGGCAGCTGCAAGCAGCGGGTCGGCACTGAAGAATAGTTCCCGTTCTCCACGGGGTGTGAGCGTGGCTGAGCGGGCGGCAGCGGCGACGGCTGAAATCTGAACAGAGGGCGGGGCAGGAGGCGGGCACCAGCCATCAATGGTACTAAAATCTACTTTGCAAAGTGCGACAGGCAGGAGATTGCGCATCTTGAGGAAAATGTAATGTTCACTGCGGGCGAGCTTCTGATTGGGTGGACTGGACTGCGAGAAATAGCTGAGCACTGAAACGGCTATTGCATTGTGTAGGCGAGCGGTGGCAACACTGCCACTCTGCGTGGGCTGAAGATAATTCGCTGCAGGCGTGGCGACAGCCCACTTGCGGGGCTTTGCGGGGAGGGGCGCAAGCAGCTGAGCTGCGGCAACGGGCTCACTGTCGGCGCACAGCTTGTTGAACGAGGGTGCGGGGAGGCCAGTGTCGACGGCGCAGCCGCCCAATAAGCGTTTGTCGTAGTCGAGCATGCTATTGTAGGTCTTGACGAACGAGGCGGTGTGGCGAACGGACAGGTCCATGGCAAACACCCATGCCGAGCCGCCCACTGGGTAGCCCTGGGCCACCCCAACATCGATCGGGAACATGAAGTAATGAACGCCATCAGCTTGAGGGAAGCTGTTGGGGGCGAGGTCAAGCTGGCGAGAGAGGTTCATCAGTCCTTCAAGGGCACCGTGGTACTCCAGAGGCGCGAAGAGCCAGCCGCGGCCGATGGGCAAGGGCGCAACCGCGAAGTTGGGGCTGTTGAAGACGAGCACGTGCTTGTCGGCCTCAGGTAGAACTCCAGCATGTCGCATCTCGATGCCGAGGCTGACGGCGCGCTTGGCGAGATAGCGGCCCACGGCAAGGTCCTGCTGCGAGTAATAAGACCGCTCTGCCACAGCGGTGTTGGTGAAGAAGTTGGCCGCGTCGGCGATGGCCTTGATATCGGTGTACTTGAGGATCCGCGGGCAGGTGTCCACAGAGAGGCGATCCGCGGGGAGCTCGCCCGTGAGGTTGTAACCTTTCGGGAGGAACGCGAGGTCGGAGACGTTCAGGTCGAGGGCGATGGCGGAGTTGGGGCAGGGGTGCCAGGTGGGGTTCTCCATCAGGTCCTGGAGCTCGCCGGAGGCAAGCTGGTCGCGGCGCGGCAGGAGGACGAGCCCGCGCACGGAAAGCAGGGCGCGGAGCAGAAAGACTCTGATGTGCAGCTTGGCGGGCGCGCCGACGACAGTGAGGGGGGGGCTGAGCATGCGCGTGACGATGCATTGCTGGGACACGATGTCGCGGTACAACGCGTCCGTCATCATCTTGAGCTCGGCAGAGGCCGTGAGCGCAAGGAGTCCGACGGCGTAGGTGGGGAACTTGGCGGCGAGCTCGGCGGTGGAATGCAGACGCCAGACGAGGCGACAGTCCTGCCACCTGGCCGCCCAGCGGTGGCTGGACGCGCCACGTGGCCTCCGCCGTGTCCGCGAAGAGCGACTGGAACGACGAGAGGATGGCTCCGCGCTCAAGGTCGCGGAAGATGGCATACTCGAACGCCTTCTCGCTCCATTCCAGGATGGCGGGGTCGGCTTGACCCTCGACGTCGAGGCGCACCACTGGCATGGCGTTGCAGTGGATCTCGCCCTTGGCTCGGTAGGCTCTCCAAGACTTTTGCGGATGCCGATGTTGAAGGAGCTGGAGAAGTTTCTTACATTGGATATCGGTACGAATCTGTTTAGGTGACTTGTCAGGGTTGAGAAAGATGTCCGTCGGTGTGCCCGAAGTGTCGACAGATGTGAATCGCTTCCATCTGCCTCCCGCATCGCGAAGGGCTCGTGAGAGCGCCATGGCGCGCGGGATGACCACGTCTCGCCCTCCTTTGACTTGAAGCACAAATCTACGAGCGGGTGCGTCTCCGTGAAGTTCGACAGCGTCTGCGCCCAGGTTGACGGAGGCGATCCACTCCTGAAGGTCGTTGAGGAGCACGTCGGGTGCGACGAGACGCTGAGCCCCGATGGTGAAGATCGCGGGGTCGATCTCGCGGTCCCAATCAGCGAGCTTGGTGAGATCCGCGATCGGCGCCTGGGCCTCCGCGAGCGCGAGGGTCTCGCGCATCTGGTCGATCTGCAGCCACATCTTCTTGTGTTCCTCAGCCTGACGATCTTGTTCTCGGCGAGTGCGGGCGACCACATCATGGAGGGTGTCGACTCGTCGTTCGGTAGCTTGAACTTGTTGTGCGAGCAGCTGGCGAAAGCTTTCGCGTGAATCATTGAGCAAAATGTTGGCTTGAGCTTGAACTGTTCTAGCAGCGTGTGCAACTTGAGCTTGCATGAGATCTTGAAGAGCTTTGTCGAGATCGGGGTCCAGACCTGGTAGACGAATGGGAGCGCCTGGCGTGGCAGTGTCGGTATCGGCGGTGGTTCCGACGGTGGGAGCTCCTCCATCGGCTGCTGCGCCTCCAGGGTGCCGCGGGTCAGCGGCAGCGGGAGGAGCGTGACGTAGAGTTTCACCAGGAGGTTGCGGGGGTGGCCCAACTCCTTCACCTGCTTGAAATTGGCGTGCGTTGGCAGCGGCAGCAGCGCTTGCTGGAGCTGCAGCTCCTTCTTCTCCAGTGTCCATGGCGCTGAGAGGTGGCTGTTGGTGTGAGCGAGCGGACGAGCGACATGAGCGGGAGGCATGTCCAGATGCGCGGCCCGAACGTGGTGCCTCCTGAGTAGCGGAAGCGGCGTCGTCGAGCGGGAACATGGAGGAGAGTCCTGCAGCTGCTCGCCCACTTTTATCAGCACGGTCAGAGAGAGCTCGTGCTGCGCGATCGTGACCGAGACGTTCACGTTCTCGGCGGCGGGCTTTCCTTCTTCGGCTGGCAGATGGGGCGCTTCGGGAGGTAGAGCGATCTCCACTGGAAGATGACATGGCTGATACTGATGACTGCTGACGAGCGAGCTGCTGTTCTGCTTCAGGAAGTTGATGGTGAGAGCAACGGAGTCCAGGGCCTTCGCGGGACCACCACGTGGAAGAAGCCGTGGCTGGGGAACGAGCAAGTCGACGTCCAGCGGGTTATGGATGTGGGCGAC